GTTCTTGAGTGTAACGCCTTTCCTACTGACGTATTCTAATGAAACTATCCACAAGTTTTGCTCTGCTTACATGCACACACAACCATTCCTTTTTAAGGTGTGAAAGTACTAGAAAACATGTATCCTTTAACTGCTTATCGTTAATGGCACTGTATTTGTATTATTTTTTCCCCCACAGAGATAGAGATCTTTGGGTGGTTGGCGGGTGCTCTGGTGTGGTTTGCTCCTTCTTTTCTTTTTCATATTTATCATCCTTATCTTTCTTCCTTTTCCTTGTATGCTGCTCTTGAGTAACACCTGTAATTGCTGGCTCTTATGTGATTTACATTTGTGTTGCAAGTGTATGTTACTCTCTAGGTAACATCTCTTTAATCTTTGGCACTTATGTGACCTATTTATGCGGGTGGTTACATGGTGCCACTTGTTGGTCCTACTTTTTTACTTTCCCTCTGTTGTGTCTATCTGTCTGTTGTCTTACTTTTCCCAGTGCTAAATGACGGTTACTGTGTCAATGTCCTTCTCTTTACGCAAACAAAACAAATGACCTATTTGTGTTGCAAATCTGGTGTGGTTTGCTTCTTCTTTCCTATCAAACCTCTATCGTTCTTATCTCCCCTTCTTCTTTTTTATGTTTGTTACTCTCTTGTAACACCTCTAATCTTCTGGCGCTCATATGACCTTATTGTGTTGCGAGCGCCGTAAAACCTCTACCAAAACTAAGCTAAAGTTTTATTTTATTTGTTTCAGAGCACCTGAAGGAGTACCGTCACATGTTTGACATGATTCTAGAAGGAGAAAAGCATGTGGCGCAGTCCAAAAATAACTTTGTGAGTATTGTTTGCTCCCCTTTTTCTAACAAAAGTTTAAAAAAAAAAAATATATAGCTGCCATTCAATACCCACACCAAAAAAAAAAAAAGATGAAATATGTGGGTGGTTAGCGAGTGCTCTGGAGTGGTTTGCTCCTTCTTTCCTATCAAACATCTATCATCCTGATCTCTCCTTCTTTTTTTGTGTTTGTTACTCTCTTGTAACACCTCTAATCTTCGGCACTTATATGACCTTAGTGTGTCGCAAGTGCCGCACAACTCTTACTAAAACTGATTAGATATGCATTGGTGCCAGCCAGTAAGTAAAAATTGGGGAAAAAACTCGGTCATATAGGCTTGTTGATTCCTCTTGCTTGTTCTGTGGAGGGTTCTGTAAAGTTGTTGTCATTCTTTTTGCATCTTCCAGTGCTTACAATTTTCCGTATTTTTATGGAAATCTGTACATGGTGTTGGTGGCCTAGTGGTAAGGCTCTTGGACTCGCAACCGTAAGGTCGTGGGTTCGAATCCCGCCAGGGACCCAACGTTGTGTCCATGGGAAAGGCACTTTGCACAAATATTCCTCACTTCACCCAGGTGGAAATGGGTACCCGGCTATAATCAGTGAAAGATCTTGTCAGTTTGATAGTGTTTGAGCGCGTGAAATCCGCAACTTGCGCTGTATGCTTCCGTGGAAACTGAGAATGTTTCTGAGTGTTCTCAGAGGGTATTATTATCATTATTATTATTATTATTATTATTATTATTATTATTATATTACTTTCTGAAGTATTCTTGCCCCCCACCCTTTCCCCCCATCATTATCAACTCCTATCGGTTAATGATCGTGTAGGGCTACGAATATCAAATCCTTTCTTTAATTATTCCACAGGCAGCTTGTGAGCAGCGAGAAATCAAAGCCAGGAAAGAGTTGAAGAAAGCTTTCAAGGTATTGGTATGTCGGATTTATTTTGGGTTTTTTTCATACCTCGCTTGTTTTTTTTTTTTTTTTGTTTTTTTTTTTGGTGGTATTTTCTGGTTTATCTCCAGTGTAGCATCTGCATAATGCAATTACAGTCTATATATGTGTACAGTTTTCTTTTTTTCTGTTTGTGCTTGCTAGTCATTTTGCTTTGGTGCAGCTTTTCCTTTGTATGTTAATGTCGAGCGTTGCTCTTGTCTTGTTGTATGTTCTGGTGTTAACATGGTTCAGTATGTGTATGGTTGGCGGGTGCTCTGGTGTGGTTTGCTTCTTCCTAACAAATGTCTATTGTCCTTATCTCCCCTTCTTCTATTTTTAATGTTTGTTACTCTCTTGTAACACCTGATCTTCTGGCGCTCATATGACCTTATGCAGTTGTGAGCGCCGTAAAACCTCTACTAAAACTAAAAAGGGTTCAGTAATATTGTTCGTGGGACAGGATCTTCAGACTGCTGAAAGCTCTGAGTTTGTTTTAAAATTCAAATTTTTAGCTTGTGTTTATGTGTGTAATTATTAAAGTAATTGTGTCCCTTCCCTACCCTTCACTTCATATGGTCGCTTTTAAGGACAAGCGGGCTAACCCAGATTTCAGGGGTTTCCAGAAATCTTTGCATACACAAAAAATGGGCATTGCCCTACCTGTAGGAGAAGTTTAGTTTCATTGATGTGTATATCTGTTTGGTTATAGAGAAGACTCTCCTTGTATTCTAATGGAACTGAACAAGAGGAAAAACTTTACCTTCGATTTTCTCAAAACAGCATTTTTCGGGAAAGGCCACTTGTCCTTAAAAGCGACCATATATCATACACTCAGAGCCAAACTCGTGAATCGTAATTTTGGCCTGAAAGTTTTTTTCTTCAAAATAAAAAAAAAAAATGTATGGAGCCCCTCATGGCTGCCTTTTTAGCCAATGGTGCTGGAAGCAATTTTTTAAAATTTCGAAAGAAAGAAAGCAATAAAGATCAAGGCTGTTTCAAAACAGAAAGTTAAGGACTCGTTTCAGTCTTTGTAAAACTTTTCCAAATTCACAAAACATGAGCTTGACTCTGTCCTCTTTATAAAACTGGCTATTTGACAGTTCAGCTAGTGGGTAATGTGTTTATCTTATTCCTATGTTGGGCTTTTTAGCTTGTCACTGCTGCAGATTGAAAGTGTAAGAGGATTTTTTCTTATTTTTCATTTGAAAGCAGATGTTTGTCTTGTGCGTGCAAAGGTTTGTTTAGTGGGTGGTTGGCTGGCAGGTTCTCCGGTGTTGTCTGCTCCTTCTTTCCTATCAAACATCTGTCGTCCTTGTCACTCCTCCTTCTTTTTTGTGTTTGTTACTCTTTTGTAACACCTTTAATCTTCGGCACTTCTATGACCTTATTGTGTTTCAAGTGCCGTAAAACTCTTACTTTTTCTTTCCTATCAAACATCTGTGGACCTTATCTCCCCTCTTTCTTTTTTATGTTTGGTGCTCTCTTGTAACACCTCTAATCTTCTGGCGCTCATATGAGCTTATGCAGTTGCGAGTGCCGTAAAACCTCCATTAAAACAAAACAGACAAACTCCTACTAAAATATAAAAACCAACAGTTTGTTTAATGTGAGAAAGAGCGCAAACTTCAGACTCTCTCTCGCTTAGGTACAGTGTGTCTGATGACAAGATAAAGACAAGATGATCAGATTAATTCGTATTCTAACTCTTCGACTTCACCTGAGAAATATTCTCTTCTGCAGATGCATTGGTCATTATTAAACATTAACGGGCAAACTATTATTATTTTTATTGTTATTATTTTTAATTTACCTCAGTGTTATAATAGAGACTTTGGGTTCTTGGCGTGACAGAATTCAGTCCTGATTCTGCAAACAGATGTAAATAAAGTTACTCTTTATTATATTAAAAATGTTATTCAGATTCTTCCCTTGATCTGTTTGGGGAATAGTAAAGCACAACGATTTATGTTTTTTGTGTTCTTTAAAAATAAAAGACATGCATTTGTTGAAGTTTTGTGACAGACTTTTAAAAACGTTCTTTTTGGCAGAGAGCTTCATCGTCAGAGATCCAATCTCTCGAAGGTCGCCTGTCTCAGGCTGAGCGAGCAAAAGATTTGGCCCAGATCGAAGGTTGGTTTTGTTATGATATGTCCCTATCTTCTTAATAGTAGGATTTTTGAAGGTAGAGAGTTCCCAACCATGTCAATTTTTGCGTCATAAATTGTTACACCATATTTAAATGACGAAGCTGTAAAACTGATCTGGCACTTGTATGAGCTATTTGTGTTGCAACTGCCGTAAAACTCTTACAAAGACTAAAAACAACGAGAATTAAACTCTTAATTATGAACATTTTTGTTCTCAGTGGCTGATCGTATCCGCGAAAACGAAGCTGTGAAACTGATCCGGCTGAAGGAAGGACTGACTAAATTGTCCCAGGCTTACTCGGACTTTGCCAGGAAGTGTGCTGTGGTGTTTGACGCTCAGCAGGTGAGTGGGACGGGGGGTGCTGGAGGGGGCCGCTGGTGCTGGGGTGCTGGTACTGGGGTCAGATAGATAAGATAAGAGAGATCATCATCATCGTCGTCAAGTGCCAGATAAGATTAGATAAGATCATCATCATCATCATCATCATCATCATCATCATGGTTGTTTAAAAAGCAGAGTAGGAGGGAGAGTCTTGCTTGATTTACAGACAGAAAATATAAATACAAAATGTTTTTGAAATTTGTTTTATTGAATCGGCTCGACGTTTTACCTCGTAGGCTTCCTCAGGAGCAGCTGAGAGTGAAACTAATATAGTGCTGTATAGTATCCTGGAAAAGGGCCTAACGAAGAAGGTTTTAAGGTTACATGTAGCTACCAGGTTGGGCGGAAGTGACTCTGTGCGAGCCATGCCAAGGGGCTCATCATCATCATCATCATCATCATCATCATCATCATCATCATCATCATCATTGTATAAAGAAGGTATTAAAACAGTTAAGACCTTGTTGTATTTCCAAAAATATATTTTTTTCACCTCATGATGTATGCAGTGACGTATTACTATAATGTATTTTGGTTTCTTTTTCCTCAGGATATTGTGCAGCAGCTCCCAGATGTTCTTGATCAGGACCTGGAGGACATGAAATACACAGGTTGTCTTTCTGTGAAAAATATACTTTTTCAATGATTCACACGTCTATCAGTAGAATTTAGATGGTTGAGGAGCAGGGCTTCTTCACATGTTGAAAGATCATTTTGTAAGTTACAGTAATACCACGTCGACTGCTTTGTTTAAGATTTCGCCGTACGTCATTTTGAAAAGTGACTTATGATGGTCTCTTACATTGTTGGATTCACGGGAGTGCTTCGTGATACTGTTTGATATGACAAAATTGGGTAATGAGTGCAAACCCATGGTCATATTTATATGACATAGAGAGAAATAAATAATTTGCCCATACTGTACTGCAGTGGAAACAGTCTTTTTAGAATCAGCATTGTTTGCCTAACATCATTGTGTTTTTTTGCAAATCATTTTACGATTGTGTTTTTTTTCAAATCATATTACAAAGCAAGTTTTTGCTGTTAATATTTCTTGAAACATTTAGTATGGTAGTTTAAGGTATTATTTTTACCTCGTTTAGGAATTCAAGACAGCTCCTAAGGGGAAAACAGATGAAGTAATAGCCTCCTTTATCAACAGGTGTGCCTTGATAATTAGCTTATCAGTGCAGGGCCATTCCACCTTCCACAAAAGATGAAACCTCATGAGAACATGTAGTACGGGGATCATCTCCTGCTAAAATAAATAGAAACAACGATAGAGCTGCTGTTTTCTTGTTTTTGATTTAAAAAAATTTTTTTTTTTTTAGAGGGAGGTTGTCTCCAACTAAAAGAAAATGAAGAAAGAATAGCTCTATAGCTGCTTAGAATGTTTTTCATCTGGTCGTCATCCCTCGGTTATGTGTATCACTGCAGGGGAAACCCTGTGCATGGTACGAAATATATGTCAAGAGATTTTCCAAGGTTTTTTCTTTTTGTCTTTCTGGCTAGGTTCCGGAGCCACCAGGTATAGAGTGCAGCAGGCGAAAGAAAAAGTTCACAACTTTCGCAGAGGTAGAGATGTTAAATCTGCACTCCCCAAATACAGTGAGTATGATCCTCCGCTCTTGACAAAAGAATTGAAATATTTTCTGTCCTGCGTGGAAGTGATTCAGTTATAAGTGAATTGAAATATTTTTTCATAGATGAAAATTTTCCAGATTTTACTGGGAAATGGGTTTTTCTCTTCGAAAATTCAAATGCTGTGTTTGATTTCACTTTGAAAAAGTATGGGTGGGGGTTTGCAGTAGCATTCATGTAAAGAGACAGTGATACTTGAGTAAATTTTCTTCTTTTTCTTTCGTGTTCTTGATGACGGCAAGACAATCTGTCCGGCGGATTGTGCAGTCCTCGTCAGCTCCTCGTGGCTTTCAAGAAAATTAAATTTTCCTTTGAATTGAATTCATATTTTTTATTTCCATGCTGGTCGGAGAGTTTTGTCTTAACACTACAGCTGGTAGCTGTAAGTGTTTGAGTCCTGTTTTTGCATTGTTCCAAGTACATATGGCCCCAAACTCTTGCTGGCGCTCATATGACCTTATGCAGTTGCGAGCACCTTAAAACCCTCTACTATTAAAAAAAACTCTTGCTACGTTTTCATCAATATCTGATTCATCTGATTTGTCATTTGCTTGTTCTTGCTCAAATCCATCGTTATTTCCTTTGTCAAACTCAATTGTGTCGCTTTTCAACAAGTCGAGACACCTTCGAAGTGTCGGAAATGCGATCACACTTGGATCGGCTCTTATACTAAAAGTACTCGCCAGAAAAATTTTGTTTCAGTATGAAATGGAAGAAGAAACATTTCGCAATAACTATGTAAAATGAAATCTCGGCCCCAGACGTCAAGGCGAGACTTGGTTTCTAAATACGCCTGCTTGGAGCGGGTGATTCCGGGTGAGTTTGGGTGGAGCGCTTAGGGAAATTTCTGTGCGAGTTAGAATGTAATGTGTAAGCCATCTGAGTATATTTTAAAAAATTGTTACATTGCAGATGAGCCACCCCCGCCTTATTCCGTTGTGGAGGACATGTCGCCCAACACGTCAGCCGTCAACCCTTCCCCTCGGAACATGTCGCCGCGCAGGCGTTTGAGCTCGGCTCTCGACAGCTCCCAGGGTTCCTCGGGCCTGGACAACAGCGTCCTCCCTCCTCCTCCGTCATCTTCCAGCTCTCTGGGCTCGCCGGCCCCTGCCCCTTCCTCGATGTACCCGTCTCCTCCCTCCTCCTCGTACCCTCTGAACCCCGGCCCCCCGCTGCGACCCCCGGCCCCAGTGGCCGCGCCGGAAGGCCCTGCCGACTCGATCACCTTGCCTGTGCAGCCCACCTCCAGCGACGACGACATCCACATCCCGGCCGTTCCCAGAGTTGCTTCGCCGTCTCCGCACCCACACCCACCCCCGCACATACACCCGCACATACTTACCGAGCTGCAGCGACAGGACCTGGCAGACCTTGTGGACTTTGACCCCAACTGGGACCACTGCTACGAGGATGACCTGTCTGGTGCCATGGGTGGCCTCAAAATGTAGTGGTCCGTCTTGTGTCGTTTTATATGGCCTCTGTCAGCAGCCTTTGGATAAGACGATAATAAGTAGCATTAGTATAGCGCATATCCTTACTCAACAGCAAGCTCCATGCGCTTTGCAATCTATATATTTTAATCCTAGCAGACCCAACAAAACTCCAAATGTTTTATGTGGCCTCAGTCAGCAGCTTCTAGAAGCTGTAGGATGATATGATAACTCTTAGCATTTGTATAGCGCACATCATTACTTGACAGCAAGCTCTATGCGCTTCGCATTCTATATATTTTAATCCCAGCAGACCCTAGAGCCCCTGAAATGTAGCGGTCTGTCATGTATCTTTCTGTCTGCAGCCGCCTCTAGAAACTGTAGGATGATATAACTTTTAGCATTTGTATAGCACATATTCCTACTCAACAACAAGTTCTATCTGCTTTGCAATCTATATATTTTATTCCCGGAAGACCCTAGAACTTTTGAGATGTTGTGGTCTCGCCGTGTATCGTTTCATGTGGCTCTTGTCAGCAGCCTGTAGAGGCCGTAGGATAAAATGATCTTAAATAGCGTTTGTGTATCGCATGTCCCTACCCAACAGCAAGCTCTATGCGCTCTACAATTTATGTATTTAAACTGTAGCAGACCCTATAACTCTCGGAAACAATCTCGGCTGTCAGTTTTGAGTAGCAGTAGCAAACAGACACATGCTGGACCTGCCAAATATCTGTTAATTTTTTTTTTGCCTGTTGAAGAGACCTGATCAGATGGGGAGGGTTGCTTTTTTTTTTTTTTTGACACATCTGAGATCACGGCAGGTAGAAGATGTCTGATAGTGTTGTTCTTTTGATATGTGTGGCATTGTGGTGAATTCAGGTGTTCATCAAAATAGTGAAATCGAGGAGAGCTACATTTTTCCACTCATTGAGCAATTTTTGGTGAAATTTTTGTTTTCTGGCTCAGCACCCTTAATGTCCATTTAAAAACACATTCTGTGTGCATTTTACTGAAAAAACATTGCCCTGAAGGTATTAAAAAAAGTAAATTTGCAATTTCAAAGGACTCTCAGGCTTTGGAAGTCACTAAACTTTGGCGGTCCTTTTCTCACTAATTTTTCCTCTGACTGCAGGTGACCCCTGCCTCCTCAATATTGCAAAGATCTCTCCTTTTATGCAAGATAAATAAGTGCTTTTTAAAAAAGAATCAAAAGCAAGAGAAACAAACAAGCTTTGAGATGATATCGACAAAATGCCCCGAAAGTAACAAGCACCCAATTCCAGCACATCATGACTCGTATGTAGTACATTTTATTTTTGTTTGTGTTTTGGCTACGTCCTGCCACGTGCACATACTGGTAACATTTCCTTCCATTCGAAGATCAAATGGCAAATCAGGATCCTGCCGTCTGTGAATCCATATTAGCAGTGAGATGTATTGTGGTGTATGTGTGCACATGTGTGTGCGTGCCTGCGTACATGCATTCCAGGTCTCCCTTCTGTGTGGGAGTTGTTGGTGCTGTTGTCGTAGTTTCATCGCAGCAGGAAGTGCTCCTGTATTTTTTATTGTAGATTTTCGCAGCACTTTTTTAACTGTAAATTAAATTAATTCTTACTTTGGACATGACATAGTTGCAAAGTGTAACCTTTATCTTGCTTGATGTGAAGTTTCGTTTTGTTTTTATATGCTTAAACACGATGATGGAGAGATTTGATTTTGTTCTTTGAAATGAAAATGGAACACTGTACTAGTAGTTATTGGGGTTTTTTTGGGTTAATTTTTTATAAAACTTTTCCAGTCATTAAGTTTGAAAAAGAAATTTACCGGGGAGTATTTCTCCCTCTGTATCTGGAATTTTTACATGCTTGGGTTGACTGTCTCATTTGACATGCTAGAAAATGTTCATTGCGTATATATTGCAACTATTTAATGTGCTCTAGGCCAGTGGTTAAGTTGTTGGACTCGCTGTTGTAAGATCATTCACTGGATAAGACCCTTCATCCTCTGGGATGATACTTTAAACCCATGAACTGTGTTAATGGCCGACAGGGTTGATTGATCAGGCGTCATATGATTGTCTGAGAGAGTGTCTATGTAGACTTGTACATTCCGACTGATGTGTATATATATATATATATTATTATAAGCTATATATTTTGAGATGAGATATTAAAGGATTTATGGTTATGATCTCTCCAGTCTTTGAAGCCCAACTTGAAGAGTACTAACAGGGGTTGTAGGCATTTGTTTTTGGTTTTTATTTTTTCCTTTTATCTTCTTCACCCTGTTAACAGAAATTTTTTATCGAGTTAAAAAAGATGGTGTTCAGAGGAATGCTATGTCCAAGTTTTTCTTCTTTATAGTTCTTTTGTAGGACAAAATGTCCCTTGCAATATATATAAAGAGAGAAAAAAAATGGTATTTGCTTTTAGCTGTCCCCATGTGGCCAGCATTTTTTTGTCGGTATGTTCCTTCCTTTTAAAAAAAAGTTTAGTGTGCAACAGGTTATCTGAGCTATTGCTTGTCTGGGTTTGCTGAAATGTCATACTGCTCAGCAGATCGTCGCTTGACAACTATTTTGTCCAAAGTCTTTACTTAAGTACACTTTACCTCCTGGGGCATTGCCACTGACTTAAATGTCTTTAGGCTATTCCCAAAGGGAGGACATTTCTCTTTCATGCTCAGTAGAATTGTATATGGGCTGATTCATCAATGTAACGCTCATAACTGTGCCTGATCTGTAACAGGAAACTGCTACCTTTTCTTTCTTAATCTTTACTATTGTCTTTTTTCCTCTACTTCTTTTGTATGTTTGTCACACTCTTGTGACCCACTATTTCCAGGGTGCCTTGATAGTCCAAGCACACTTTGTGCTGTTGAAGCTAGAGAGGTGAGCAGAGTAAGTCTGATTCCATGTAAGTAAGGACTTCTCTGTTGACATCCACCCCTTGGCGCTCATATGACCGTATGCAGTTGCGAGCGCCGAAAAACCTCTACTAAAACAAAAAACTAAGTACACTTTGGACAAAATAGTTCTGAGGCGACGAGGTGACAAGATAATGGCTTCCTAATAGCTTACATTGAAGTGCTTTTGATTCGACTCCTTTGAGTTGTGGTATATCAGAATCTGTGGTGTGGTGATTAGGCGCTTTGCTGTCGTGTGCGGGAGACCGGAGTGGGGAGAATTTTTATCGAGTATATCTGTCTTTTTGCTCGCTGAGATGTTGTATCCCTCTCGGCCCAGGTTGGCGCTGACAGGCAGGGTTGGAACGCCACCTCCTAACTTGTCTTGATGGTAAAAACACCTACATTCAATTATTTTTTTTTATCAGCATGTAATAATATTGTGTTTTACCTCTTTTGTTGTATCTGTAATGCATTATGAAACTCTCCACAAATCTATTTAAATGGTTTTGAACAAATCTTACTCAACTGCTTTTTTATGAGGTACTTTTAGTACTCGAAGGATTTTACAGTCATACTTTTTAAATCGGCTAAGAAATTTTCACAGAAGAGCTGGCAATTTAAACACTTTTTTAAGTAGTTTGTTTTTTACTCTTGGTTCCCATGGTATTACAAAAGGACAGTGATGTGTGAGGAGATAGTTAATTACTCTCTTTTTTAGCTTTTGACTGTTTGGTCAAAAAGATGTCCTAAAGCTTTTTATTGTATTGGCCTGTAGGCGAATTTGGAGGGCATATATTATAATAATGATGATTGCATTTATATAGCTCATATCAATGCTTTACAGCATGCTCTATGCGCTTACAACTATTATTATAATTACCCCAGTAGAGCCCAAAACATGACTCGACGACCTTACGATTGAGAGGCAGAGTTTTTGATTGCGTGGTTATCGAAGCTTGGTGCTGAAAAGCTTACTGAAGCCAAATGACAGGATTTTTCACTGCTGATGAGCTTTTCGGAAAGAGGGTAGGATCCACTTTAATTTTAAACCAAAAACAGCGGTAAACTGTTGGAAATTAAAATCTCTGATTTTTTCCTTCTATTCAACCAACCATTCGAAACCCAAAAACCCGTTTAGACTGAGAAAATCTGACGGTATCGCAGATCTTGGGTTAAACGGCCGTCACTGAAGATTATGCACTCGTCATTACTAATACTATCATTGTGTACTGATGGTAGTGTTGGGTGCTTCGAGTGGACATGTTAACAAAGTTTGATATACCTTACCCTCCTTTCAGTCTGTGGAGCTCTGACCTATATATATATATGCAAAAAAGTTGAGGTCATATCAACTTTTTTACACTTGTCTATTTTTGTAGGTTGCGCTAAGCTAAGAAGGAAAGATGCTACCTATATATTTAGATCTACATATTTTTCTATCAGTTTCTGTTACACATTTAAGAAGTGTGTCAGCTAATGCGGTCTTTGTGTCTCTTGTAGTAAGTATGGAATGTTTTATATATATATATATATATATCGTTGGTGTTTCGACTCTTAACTGTGTGTCTACCACTTTAGGTCAAACACTTTTTGGTCTTTAATTATGTTATTGGCAACGGTAATTGCAATTGGTGATATTAGAAGTAAAAAGAATATTCATGGGTAGTTGGTGGGTGCTCTGGTGTGGTTTTTCTCTCTCCTCCCTATCTATCGATCTCTCCTCCTTCTTTTTGTGTTTGTTACTCTCTTGTAAAAGCTCTAATCTTCGGCACCTATATGACCTTATTGTGTTGCAAGTGCTGTCAAACACTTATGAAAAGTAAATTATAAGAAGAATTGCACAAAATTCTTAGCAATTTTGGGAGGCACTAAGGCACCAAGGAAGAAGATGATATCCCCCCCCCCAAAGGAAAAAGAAAGAAGAAAAAGTTGACCTAATTTGGCAGATACATGGGTTAAAGTCAGGCTCTGACACAATATATTGTCGGTGTCGTGAGCAATCCACTTAAGTCTGTTTTGAGTACATTAACACCAGAGACAAAAAAATAAGTTTTTGTTGTGTTGTTCCTATCAGGAATCACGAAAAGCAAACAAAATTGTAAGCCTTGCTTGACCATAGCTTTAAACCGCATTTTGATGATGTTGAAAGGTGGATCTTTGAATCTTTGATAAAAACCTGTAAATTCATTGCCATATCCGAAGGGCTAGAACCCAAATGTCCGCTGGATCGGAAAAGTAAAGTAAAGTAAAGTAAGAATCTTTGATAAGGCTTTCAAAGGGTGTAAAAATCGAATATTCGCAAAATTTGGACGGAATTCCGTGGATTGCTTTCGACTCGGATGATATTTTTTGTTTGAATGTATGGCTTTGTAGAAGTGTGCCTGGTAGTAGTGGATGCTTGGTATTCGGTATTATATTGTTGTTACTTTGTTGAACTTTTGACAAGTGGTGTATCGTTATGTTTGTTGCCGTGGAGTCGGGAGACCTGCTCTGGTTGATCTGGACTGGATGTTCGTGCAAACTGCTCATGTTATTTTTGCAATATTTTGTGATCTCAAATTTCTTGTGAAGGGAGAAGCCATGATTGATTGATTTGATGACCCAAGCTTCTACCAAGTTTGGCAATGCCATCCTGTACTTATGCACTTATCCTGCTTTGATGTTGTTGTTGATTAAGTTGTTGTTTTTTTTTTGGGGGGGGGGGGGGGTTTGGTGAGGATTTGTTGTTGCCGTTATTTTTGCATATCGTCAAGGTGTTGTTACCTTTTTGGCATCAGTCAGAAATAGACCAAAATGAAACTGATCCGTGGGCTGTTGGCGTGTGCTCTGGTGTGGTTTGCTTCTTCTTTCCTATCAAACATCTATTGTGTCCTTACCTCCCCTCCTTCTTTTTTATGTTTGCTACTCTCTTGTAACACCTCTAATCTTCTGGTGCTCATATGACCTTATGCAGTTGCTACCTCTACTAAAACTGAAACTGAAACTGATCCACTGCAAGACTCCTTGACCAGTCTTTTCAGAAATCAGTTCATTTTTGCCCCCCTCCCCTCCCCTCAGGGCAGTGCTAATGACTGAAGTTGTCTTTTGGCAATTCCCAAAGAGG